TTTATATATATATATATATATTATAATCTTTTATTATATAGCGTAATAGAAGAGGAAATATAAAGATACCAATCAAAACGCACACGTTATAATCAATGAGGATGCCAAAGATCATAATAACTATAATATATAGTGCTTCGGTCACTGACCATTACGCTTCTTAATTGCTATATGTATGTATAGCATGCTTCTTCTTAAAGATATTCATGTAATTTTTTATGCTCTTTTAAAGTATGATTATAAAATAATAGAAATAAAACAAGATATTCTGTAAAATAAATTTCTTGACGTATATATATTCGAAATCATAAATTAGTTTAAAAAACAATTGGATTTCTTTGTTTTTGATTCTATATATTTTCACCACATGACATGTTATAATTATTTTATACATATTCTTCATAAAAGTAATTAATTTTCTTAATATTTTATGAATACAGCGCAATGTATAATATAGAATGTAATATCACAGTAATTTTTCAGTAATATTGCAATATACTAGAAATATTTTATATTACAATTTTATATTACAAATTACAGATCAATGTGTAATATATATTCGTAATATTTCTGATATATTATCTACAATATTACTGCGATGTTAATGTGATATTACATATGCTATGTGGGATTCTATTTAATAAGTCATGCTTTGAAGGAAGAAATGTATGAATCAGTTAAGCAAAATTCCTAAGAAATGAGTTATGCATGTTAGCTGTTTAAATGATTTTTAATGCAAACAGATAAAGAAAACAAATAGAATTAAAACTTAAAATTACCAGATCAAGTTTTTATAATAAAAATTAGAAATTTGTAGTTTTGTAAAACAAATTTTCATCAATTCTAATTTATTTTACAACTTATAGTGATGCTCTGGATTATATCATATTTGTAAAGAAAAGGAGGAACTAACCCGATGACACTGTACCCTGCGATCTGTCTTCTATGTCAAATACGAATCAGTGTTAATAGGAGATATGGAACCACCATCACTAAAAAGCACATATGTATGAAACGCGCAAGTATCATCTAGGCAACAGTTGCATGCATGCATCGCAGGGGAAAACTAGGCAATAAAAGAAACGCAGTTTGAAGTTTGAATAATAGATAACAAAGAAAAAAGAGGAAATAGTTCATAGCCATTCGCGATTAATGTATTATGTTAATCAGGAGAAGAAATGTTGAAAGTCAAAGAAAGAGAAATAGAAACAACAATTAGAAAGCAGGAATTCCGATGATCGGAAGAAGGTTTTGCATTGTCACAAAGATCCTGTAATCGCGGACCTGGTGCGTTACATCTCTGATGAGAGTTTGAGCCCACGTACGAGACATACCGGAAAATTAGCTGAAGTATGTTTTGACAACGCGAGAAAATCATGCGGCTATTGGACCACACGAGAGAACAATGGAAATCGCTGCGATCCACGTGGATCATGCTTCTTGTACATTTACTGTTTTTCCTGACGCTTACCCTATCTGATTTGCAGCGAAACACAGTAGTGGATGCTACGCTGCAAGATGCATGTAAGTGTGTGTTTTGAGATTCTCAAAAAAATACTATACCTATTGAAAAAAAATCACGTCACAAAGTTAATACACAACAATCATGTAATTAAAACAAGTAAATCATACAATAGAGTGTTCTAAATCGATACGTGATTTTTTTTTTAAACCGCGTATTGATATTAGAAATAATTATTTCAAATTACGTGATTTAAAAAATCACATATTAATTTAAAACAATCCATTACGTAATTCACATATTTTAATTACATGATTTCATTATGTTACTTTAAATAACGTGATTTTTTTCAGTTGAGCAATATATATTTATCAATATCTAGATTTATGTATCACGTATACAAAATGTTTTGGTGCAAAATAAAATTTCGGACTTCAAACTTTTTAGGAATTTCAAGTTACGTTCAAAAATTTGATTTAAATTTAGTTATCTTATTTTGAATATATTTTATTTTAATATATTTAAAAATATTCTTTTCTGTAATAAAAATTATTTTGCAGTTTCTAATTTTAACTTTTAAAACGTATAGAAAGATTTTCAAAATAAAAAGAAAGATTTGTAAATATAGATTAAGAAATTCATTTTATTTCCAAAATACAATAGTGATAAAATACTTACAATTATTATATCGAATAGTTATAATAAATATCAGATCAAATAAAAAGAATTCTATAATTAAATTTTATTAGAGAAATTATGTATGATTTCTTTATATATTTTACAGTAATAATTACAATAAATTTTTGCGTTATAAGTAAGCTAAACAAGTTAAACAATAATTAACTTGAATAAATTTTTATAATGAAAATTATTTTTTGTATGAAGTTCTAATATTGAATCGGTATTATATTTAAGAGAGAGAGAGAGAGAGAGAGAAAGAGAGAGAGAGAGAGAGAGAGATTGAAAAAAAATGTTAACATTTCTTCTGAACAATATATATTTATTACTGGATGCGTTTTACTGCGGTTTCTATTGCATTAATTGAGATGCGTATGTGTGACATACAAAGTTGCATGATGCAGTCGAGTGGCATCTTCTTGAATTGATGACTTGTAGGTTCATCGGTTACTGGGTTTCTAGTTGTTCATTGTGCCTATTATATCTGTCAGTTCCCACTTTTAGCCACATGTATCAATTATTCAATTAATAAATTTTAAATAAACTCTCGAGAAAGTCAAATTCAAAAACAATGATTCAGCGCTAATGAGAGTTATCTCGCGGTACGTAAAACGATAAAAAAAAACTTTATTAAAATTATAATTTTTCTAAGAAAAATTTTTTATTATAATTCTTAAAAGAATTATAATTTTAATAAAGTTTTTTCTGATCGTATTACGTACCGCGAGATAACTCTTATTAGGCCTGTATCATTGTCTTTGAATTATTCAATTGTTATATTAAAAAATAAAAATAAAAACAATTTTTTTTATAATTGGAAAAACAGTAATTGCGTTATATCTATTTTTAAAAAAAGATAGGGCTAAGATTACAAGCTCCATGTAAAAAACTATTTATATATGATTCAATAATTTAAACCAAAAAAGTGGTACTATCTTTAAAAATGCAAGTGATATACTATCCTTGATATTTACTTAATTCTAATGACGTAATGACATGTATCATTTGTATAAAAGATTTGATATCAACAGACAGCACCAAGTTAAATTTTACCATCTTTAAAAACCTACTTGGTACTATTCTTATTATTTACTTAATTCTTCGCGCGCGCGTCACAGCCATCGTGCAGTATGATCCCATGCAACGCTGGTCTGCTGGTAATAATAAATTATAGATAGATGACATAAAGTCAATAGCCATATATTATCAAAAACACGAGACATACATTTCCCCTAGTCGATGACGACGTCAATAATAATAATAATAACGACATTTCTTAAAATGAGACGAAAATTCAGAGATTCAGAGCATTACAATATCTCCGCTTGTAGGGTACCTAGAAAAAAATAAAAACACTTTTATTATACAATCCGAATAGTAGCTATCGATTTAGCGTATACATATATAAGAAATCGATTAGTTCAGCCATTATTGAGATCTGATAATCTCAATCTGCCGCAACTCGCCGGCTCGCGTAAAATAGCCTAGTGTCGCTGCGCTTGGCTTAGCGCCGAGAAATACTATCGTGTCTTCAAATTATACACTTGACGTCATGTTGCTTTTAATT